GCGGGCGGGCGGAAGGCGAGAGCCGGTGAGGGAGACGGCGGCGGAGAGGAATCGTCGGATTCGTCGGCAGGCGGCTGCGGAGGAAGAGAAGGAGAATTTGCAGGGGAATCGGCGGACAAGGAAGGTCTGGCGAGAGAGATGAATGCGAGGAGGAAGAAGATGAGAGAGAGAGTTGCGGAGATTGACGCCATTGATGAGATTTGTGGGAAGCTTTTTCTGAGTTGAAATTAGGGATTCGCAAGGGGCGTATTATAGCAAAAATGAGGGGGAAAGTTGGATTATATGAACAAGTGTGACTGAAAACTGAAGGGACGCGAAACTTTTGGGAATTTGAATAAGTGCAGTTCAAATAAAGTGCCGTTTGAAAAAAAAAATAAAATAAAGTTAAAAAAAAATGGTTAGACAGAAAAAAGCGAGCGCGAAGATGTGGAGAAGATAACGTGGGTGATGACTAATGAGGTATGAATTAATAGACATGGCCACGAGTAGATCCGAAGCAATTTTAGTTCGAAACTGTTGATTCACAGTTTAATTTTTTTTTTTTCGAACTGACATTGGCTCCGGGATTGGCATTACGTAGGTTCAATGACGCGTGCGGTACACCGGCTGTATTTATTTGGGAGAATATTATAATTTGAAGTGTATTTATCAATCAAATAGTGATATTATGTAAGTAAATTATCAAATCATAAAATATTTATCATGAACAAATAATATATTATTAAGAATTTCATTGTAAAGTATTATTAGTTTGATTACTTGGCAACTCGTTGTCCCCAAAAACTAATATTTTAAACTCATTTCTGTTACTTACCTGCGAAAACCAATTTATTTAAGAAAGGATCAACGTACGATAAAAAATGACGTTGACTTTTATTTAATGTAATGATATACAAAACTATAAGTAAGAACCGATGTCGTTGGGACTTAAATGAAACTCTAAGATCAGAATGATCTACTTATAATATGATAATTTACCTGACAGTTCGACAAATGAATTGTTAGTTTATCATTTTAATATGGGAGCTTAGCATTTACCGTTCTTTTGCATCGTTTTAGAAATATATTCTCCAACAGTTAATATAAATTCATTTTCAAAAAATGAGAAATATTTATTGATTTTTTAAGTATGATTAAATATAATTATATTTGTGAGATAGAAGTAATTAAAATTACAGTAATGCTCTTCTATCCACGGTAGAATAATAACTAATGGTAGAATAATAAATTATTAAAGAAATTACCAAAAAAGAATGATGAAAAACGACGGGTGGTCTGAATTAGGTTAGGTCTTGGTAGTGTGGCAATTTTTATTTTCTATTAAATGGCTAACATTAAATTAATTAGGTGAAACTCACTTATACTAGACATTCTCTAGCGTCTGGCCACATTGCATTCTATGCCCTTTAATTTTAGATAATAATAATAATAATAATAATAGTAATAATAATAATAATAATAATAATAATAATAATAAAAAAAAAAAGATATATGATTAGGTGAAACTCACTTTGTCATAGACATTCTCTAGGGGTATTATTTCTATTATTTATTTTATTATGTCTTAAAAATTACAATTTAATTTGAGTCTGTACCACGTTTACCCCTATTAATTTTTTTTCGATACAATGAATAAGGCTTTCTAAGCTAAACTCGTCGGGAATACGACACCCCAAGACCATCATGCGCGAGCCACGCTCCCATGCCTGGAAGAGGTACTCCTATTAATTTGATCCTTCTCAATTCCTCCAAACCACTCGGTCATTGCTTATTACTTGTTAGTCACACAACCACTAAAACTCTACAAGTCACTTGATCAGTTGACCAAGCACCACACGAGTAATCGAGTCAAGTTATAAAAACTTGCATAAATATCTCTATTTTCGAGTGACGAGCTCGAGCTCAAACTCTTCCAAGCTTATGACAGAGTAGTTCCCCAAAGACCTTATATTAATTTTATAATTTTTTTTTGGTCTTCTATATATTTATTAAAATATTGCAAAAATACGATTATTTAGAATAAAAAAATTGTTTTATATTTATAATTAAAGAATAAAAATTGTAAATGTACAAATGCAAAGAAATTTGTAGACGAGTAATTTTCTCTATTTTTTTTTTTTTTTCAACGTCCACCTATTGAGGTGGGCTGTATACTGCACTTCCATATCTTGTTAGGGCTCAAGCCCAACCAAAATTTTGCCTCGGTCCTTAAATTGAACTATTAAGCCCAGCCCATTGTGAACTTCCATTATACAACAATGTAATTTTTCCTTTCATTGGAACGAACCATTTGACAATCATGATCAGCGTTCTAGCTCAGGTACTTTCTCTCTCTATTCTTACAAACCCTAATTTACGAATATAATACCCCAATTTTGTGTTGATTTATGTTACTGTGTAATTTGTTTGTATGTATGCATTGTATGTGTATCTATCTATAGGAGCGTCTGCTAGGCGCGGCTCTGGGGAGCATTGCTACTGGAGTTGTGATCCTTCAGCAGCGCAAGAGCATCTACCAATCCATTTCGAA